ACTCAGCTGTGAACCGTGAGCATGCGTCAGAGCATAGGGGAATGTGTGACCTCACTCACGGTTGAGCAACGGTACAGAAATGCAACGTTTTGCTGAGTAACATGGAAATGGATCTGAAATGTATGGATTAAATTCCCCTGAAAGCAACGTGGGTCTTCAACGGAAGGAAAGGAAAAGTAGTGTGTGTCTGAGCAGTGGTGTCTGAGGTTTCTTTGAACCTAATCCTTTGGAAAATGAGCACACGCGCAAATTACTCAGCGCCTGCAATCCAGCTTCCAGATGGGCTTGTCATAAACCACCAACTTGTTTAGAAACTTTTTTTTCACTCAAGCTTGTCCCCTGTGCACTCCTATAGGGGCTGATCTCTACTGTTCATTAGAGGAAGAACAGCTGTGTCCTACCATGCATCGAGATATGGCAGGAACAAATGTCCCACCAGACAGTATGGCAAGTGTTTTCTACAGGAGGCAGGCAACAGGGTGTAGAGGCCACTGCTTGGCTATAACTAAACCTCACCCGTCCTTCCCTCCATGTTCCTGAGGGGCCATGTTATCTGCAGGTGGGATCTGAGGACATAGGGGTAGACCTGTGTGGTGCTTCTGCACAGCTTTTAGCTCAAGGCACTACTCTCCTGCCTTATTTATCAAAAAGGGATTGTGTGTGTGTGTGTGTGTGTGTGTGTGTGTGTGTGTGTGCATGTATCTGTTTGCACATGCATGTAGAGGCCAGAGGTCAATATCTTCCTCAATTGACTCAGGCTTGCCACCAGCTAGTCTCCCAGACAGTTCCATGTGGCCGAAGAACCAGGGTCTGTGGTCACCTCTGAGTAGCCCAAGGAAAAGCCTAGGAAGGAGGGAAAGGCTAAGACTCCATGCTTTGGGAGCCAGTCTTTGTGCAGGGGTTTTGGCTGCAGCAGCAACGTGGGGTGAAGGTCAGATGCTCCCAGAGAGTAGAGTCACTGATAACCGTTTTCTCCAGCCTTCCCTGAAATGTCCCAGTAGACAGAAGGAACCCTGGCAACCACAGACGCCTGAACTGGTAGAACCCCTGTGTGTGTCAGCATGCTGCTTGCCTCTGCCAGGGTTTCTCATATACCCAGTAGGTTCTTCTGAAGGCTGGGTGTTTTCTAAGCTCCCTGGACTAAACAAGACTTGCTTTCACCATCTTAAATAATTCATGGTTATGTTGGAAGAGCTGGTACCAGGCCCAGAAGTGGCTTTCCAGATTCCCTTTGAATGACTGGGACTAGTCATCAGTGATGGGCAGGTTCTATTCAAATGGTGCTTCACTCAGAGTATCTATTTCCTCCTTAGGAGAGAGTTTTGTAGGGGCCTCCCAAGAACCACACTCCCAAGAACTACCTTGCTGGCCAAACTCTTCCATACCCACCTAGCAGCTTTATTGGCCCTTCTAGGACTCTTCCTTCAAAACTACTTTGCATTCAAAGAAATGAAAAGAGATCCAAGGTCCTCTGTAGGATGTGTTAAAATTTTACATCGGAAATAAACTAATTTTTTCATTACCAGCTTTTATAGTCTTAGGAGGTTTAAGACTGATTGACAGGTTTGAAAATATACAGCCTATTTTCGCAGATAGCTCACAGCTGTATTGCTTCCTCCCATGGTGAGCTCAACTGGAGGTTTCCATCAGAGAGCCTTTGCCAATTAGCAACCCTTATCTTCTGTATTCTTTAGGTTAATACATGCAAAAGAACTCTGATCTTATTTCTTTGAAAACTGATGACACTCCCATACACACACACCATTAAAAAAAAACAACAACAAGACATCAAAATATTTAAAAGACACAGCAAGGTAGACTATACTGAAACCAAGATAACACCATTAATATGGCTGCCTGGAGCAAAACAAAAAAGATTCCAGACAAAGGCTTTTCAACTGTGTGCCTGGGAAACCAGAAGGATCTTTGGAACCTCTTGTGGGCCTCAACACCAACATTGCTCCCGTTCCTAGTCATAGATACTTTTTTTTATCTGGTTTGCGAATTGGATTTAGTCAGATTTTAAAGGAATAAAACATTTTATAGTTAAAGTCCTTTTTTAAACCTCTAGTCCAGGAGACAAAAGGTCCCAAAACCTACCAGTGTTTGGTAGGCTTGTTCTCTATGGTGTAGCCCAATGTCTGGGCATGTCAGGGAGCCTGTGCCCCGGAGTCAGATATGCACCCGAGAGTTGAAAGAAGTGAGCCATTTAAGACTGTTGGAGCGTCTGGATCTTTCTCTGTGCCCTTGTGTCTGTGTGGAATGTTTTGGTGCTTCCCTCTCAGAACCTCATTGTTGCCTAAGTTAAAAGGGCCTGTTAACCCTTCCAGAAGAAGCTTCCTGGCTTCATCTCCAGCTGAGTCAATGGCTCCTCTGATGCCCTAGTTAGTCCTAACCTCCACCCTGTGAGTCATCTATCCTGGTCCCCCCTCACTCTGTGGAGCAACTTCTGACTTGGATGTCTGTCCTGTCCTCCCTCTAAACTGTTGAATCCTAGAGATCTTGGATCATGTCTTCAAATCCACCTCCCCAGAATTAACTCAGGAGTTACCGCCCAGATGATCACAGTCTTGTCTATTTTCAGCTTACAAATGTGGTAGTGGATGACAGACTGCAGGAGCACACCTGCATCTCTGGCACCCAAAATGCATCTGTTGTGGCCAACCCACCCTTGCAGGAATGCTTCAAGATTAGAGGACTGAAAAAGACAATTGAGGCTTTAAATTTCATTTTCACATGTTTTTTAAAAATGTGATCTTTTCAAGTCCAGAAAAGTTTTTTTTAAATATAAACATGCATTCTCACTGTCTGGGGTCAGAGTTAGATGAAATTCCTCAAATGATCTCTTAATGCCACCAAAATTGCATTCAAATGCTCCTGCCAGGCAAAGATAAATAGCCATTTACACAATAATCTTGCGCTTAAAAGTAACTGGGTTCAGAGAGTTTGGGAAAATTTATTATGACAGGGAAAAGGGGTTCAAGATATTTAGTCTGCTGATAAGACAACTTAGGAATGACCGTAATTATCTCCGGGAATTTGAAGGGTCTTTAAGAGGTCAGGGGGCAGCTTGGCTCCATCTACTTGGACATCAGAAAATGACATCAAAATTAGTTCGTCTGAATCACAGAAAGTCAAGGGGGAAGGGGGTCCAGAACCAGCAGCATCCCCCACCCCGCCCAAGCTTGTTAGGAATACAGACCTCCCAAATCCACTCCTCATCTTCCAAGCCAGAGTTGTGCTCTCTCAAGCCTCGCTGTAGTTTATTGATATGTTCAAGACCCGGAAGCTCCTCTTATGTAAGAAGGTTAGAAAGCAAAAGACTGGGAGAGCCTAGGACCCTGCCTAAGATCTGACAGCCAGTCCAGGTGGGGAGCAGAATGGCAATGGCTGTCCCCTCCCATTCAGTCTCTCAGGGATGGCCCAGTGCCCTTCATCTTTCCTGAGAAGTACAGCCACATCAAAGGGAGTCGGAGTCCTGTCTTCATGTTCACTGTAATGCCCTCAGTACCATACCCTACAGCTATAAGGACTCAGGCCAATAGCACAAACCACTCAGCTCAAGGCTGCTGAAGAAGCCTTCAGACTTCCTGTCCCTAGAAACAGGATAGACGGCAGTCTGCCATCCACATTTTGCACGGCAAAGCCACCAGCCTCTGTTCTTGACTTCCATGTAATAGAAAATGTCTGATGGCTAAGTTCCTCAGCAGATGGAGGAAAAAAAATGCATAGCTCTTTCCAAAGCAGTTGTTTCGAGCACTATAAAGTTGCGGGTAATCCTGTGGTCTCACTGCCCTTGCAGAAGATTCAAATCAAAAGCCTTATGAATACCTCGTGAGTTCCCAAGGCAAGGAGCCATGCTGTCTAGGGTGGAAAGAGAGATACTTGCTCAGAGTGGGCACCTTGGCAGGGAAAGACTGCCTAGGCTTCCAAAGGATCCCTCCCTTGCAGGTCTGGGAAGAGAAGGCCATATTAGCTTCCCGGAACCAAGCAGAACCTAGAGGAGCCAAGCAGAGTCCGGGGACAGGCCATGAAAAATAACAGGGGCAGGAAGGAGCGCCTCTGGGTGGGTAAATGTGTTTCCTGGCACCAAGGGAACTGAGGAGCAGTATAATGTATATTTGATGACAAGCAGCCTCCCTGCCAGAGACCTAAGATAAAACAAAGCCTGGCACCAGAGCAGACAGAAGATAAAAGAAAAACCATGGAACCTGCCAGAGAGGCCTAGATGGTCCCAAGGAAATGACTAGACAGCAAGGTGTGGAGACTAATAAAAGTCACCATGACAGCCACCATCCTATCCAAATCTTCACAGTTCCTACATGTAAGGCTTTGGCGGAAGTTAAGATCATGCTGAGCAGCTGACAAGATGACAGAAAGAAACACATGGCCCTGAGAACTCCCTCAGTACCCACTCCCAATCATTGACAACCCAACCAGAGTCAAGCAAGCAAGATCCTTCTAGTCCCTCTTCAAAGGAAACTGGAGCTTCCTTCATTGTACTGAAAAGCAGAAAAGACAGCTGCCACATTACTCCGATAAGATCAAACATCTGCGTATTTGCTACCATGTGCAGAGATACATGTCACCCAGACTGTCACAGTCAGGGAATCTTGCGGATGAAGCTCACAAACATAACCTTGTTCCCCTTGGGCAGCCGAGCTCCATGCAAGCATGTGCCTTTTGAACTATAGATAAAATGCAAAGTGCATTTAATCCACATGATGGTACTGATCTGCCCACACCAGGCAGGACTAAAAGGGGTCGCAGGCTTCAAAGGAGTCAATGAGAGTAACAGAGTTGCCTTTACCATCCCACTGGCCTTTCTCACCAAATGTCACCCTTGCCATCTGATCTGTCTGTCCCAAAGACTCGAACACAGCTGCCACGGACAGAATGCTACAGAACCAAGGATAAGTTCCTTTCTTCCACACAGGCCACTTCCTCACCTCATTGGCCTTGCCTCGCAGGAATAGTCCATGGTTCAGTCATTTTCTTACCTGGAAGCTACAGGGACACTGGAGACTGGACTCTGTAGTGTCCAGAAGACAGTCCAGACTTCAGGGTGAGGTGGGGATCCACATCCTTCTTTTGTAGTCACATCGTCGGTGGATGAAAGTCACAGAAAGACTCCCAGCATCTGTAGGCTACTCGTGAACTCCATTTTCCTTTCAAGTGGAAAGATCCCATCTGATCTACTGAGAGAGGGAATGAAGGAAAATCTGAGCACACTAGGATGGGAAACTTGCAGAAATAAGCGCATGTGTGTGCATGCTCTGGGGGCCAGGGGAGATCTCACCACGATACTGGGTGCTTGTAGCTCCATTATCCAAATTTCTGTGGCATGTCATATGCTATCGGTTCCTACCAGACAGAACCCCCAAAATGAAGAAACTTAAGGAGACCTCCAAATCCAGTGAGGACAAAATATAGTGAGCAAAGCATCTTGACCAGGTTGTCATTTCTGAGCAAAACTCAAGCGTGTAAGAGAGCATGTGGTGTGACCACTCTAGGTTTGGTAAGGCCAACATCTTTTCTCTTCAGCTAAGTTGAGCTTTATATAGACACAAAAGGCCTAAAGACCCCCCACCCCTGTCCCCCAAGGGTGTCGTGCCTTGGCAAGATAACGGGGCTCCTTAGCAGATGGGGTGAGAAAAAGTGCAGGAAGAAATGATCATGTAGATCAAAGGGCTGTGCTGTACTGACTGAAAACGACTTCTTTAAAAAAAAAAAAACATTTCCCCCAAGTTGGACAGGTGGAGAAACAATGAACTGATTGGTCTCTCATTAAAAAAAATCCTTCACTCATTAAAAAAATCCTTCAACTTATCTTTCCTCAGTACTTTCATTTCCATCAACGAGTTGTCAAATGTGTCAATAAATGGCAATGGAGTCCCAACCAGTTACTTGATTAAGAAAGATGACACTGGGCTGGTGAACACAATTCAGAAAAATGGTAGCACTTTCAAATGCACTCGTAACCAGTGTCGTTTCAGGAGTTCTCTCTGCTCAGCTCTGGACTTAATGCTTTGCTTTATCCCTAGCCGCTTACTGATGAGGAAGCAGGCATAAGTTTAGCTGTCTTTCCCTCAGTCACAGATCTCTCTCTCTCTCTCTCTCTCTCTCTCTCTCTCTCTCTCTCTCTCTCTCTCTCTCTCTCTCTCTCTCTCTCTCTCTCTCTGTGTGTGTCTCATTTTATTATTTATTATGCATATGCATCCATCACAAGCAGAAAAGACCTTCTGATTTCTTATAATTTTTAAAATAAAGGAACACACACTTCTATGTTTTGGCATAGGTCAGTGGTTCTCAACCCATGCGTCACGACCCTCAAATTCCATCAGAAAACATAGGTATTTACATCATGATTCATAACAGTAGCAAAATTACACTTATGAAGTAACAATGAACATAATTTTATGTCTGGGGGTCAGCACAACCCGAGGAACTGCATTAAAGAGTTGCAGCATTAGGAAGGTGGTGCTGACAAGAAGAGTCCATTCACTATCGTTTCTTACTAGAAGAAGGAGACAATCCCTCACCCCATTCCCAAGTAATCCATCATCCTGTGGGCTAAGCAGAGTCCTTGGAAGCCATCTCCAGAATCTTTCTTTAGAGGACAGTTAGGATCAAGAGGAGTACAGCTGATTTTGCACACCCACCCAGACACTTCCTTGTAATTTTGTCTTATGTGGTTTCTTCTCCATTCTGTCATAAACTGTGAAACTAAAATACTGATTCACTACCACATTTATTATATTGTTCAATAAAGAAATGACCTTACACTCTACATTGAAAGCAATCTAGTTCTATACCTAATCGCATACACCTTTATCTCACTGTCTGGATCATATAACAAAGGTTGCACACCTGCCACATCTCTGAGGGATCTCCATGGTGCCACACGAAACTAAAGTGACATTAAGAGGCTACACACAATCAAATACAAGCTCTGCTGGGACCTGGTAGAAAACCACAGCCCCTGGCAGGGTAGGCTCCCTTCTCGGTGGTTAGTGTCTCCAGAAATAACACCTAGGTACCCAGGACTTTTAGTCCCTTTCTACCTTCCCAGTGGCTCAACACCTGTATCCTTGAAGGAGGCTCCTGACTACTCCAGACTCACCGCCACAGGCCCCGAGTGGCGGAAGTAGCTGGGAGCTGTCCATGGTGGCGCCGCGCCTGGGCACGCAGAGTCGCCTGTTCCCCGCCCGCGGGCGCGCCTGGGGTCCCTCTCCAGACCGCTGACACGGAGACGACTCCCTGGCTCACTGTCTCCTGGACAGGGCTTCAGTCAGGCCGTGGCTCTCACATCAAAAGCTTGGCTTTAAAAGGGAATTCTTACCTGTGGGCAGAGTTGGCTGCTCGGAGCAGGACTGAGAACCTCAGACCTGGCGCCGGTGGAATGTCCAACTCTTGGGGAATGCCGGTTCACCTTCCTTCTTGTCAAAACTACACGCATTCTCCTGGGTTCATCCCGAAATCTCCTCGGACCTGGTTCCCAGAGCGTCAAACTGGAGAACCGTGCACGACTCAGGCTTATGCCCTGCTGAGATCCTGGTTTTTCTGTCAATCTAGCGCGACCCTTCTTGCAGATGGCGTCCGTTGCCAGGTGCCAACAAACATTCCTGCAGCGCTGCCAGGCTTAGGTTTGCTTAAACATCAGCAGGGACCACCGAGGTCGTCTAACATCAGATCATCTCCGCCTGCGCCCGCACTGTGCCAGGGCATCGCTGGGACAGCAGAGGCTGACGAGGGAACCCAAGAGACCTTGCCAAAGCGAGCGCAGCGACAAGGTGCAGACTTGTGGGGCTCACGACCACTAGCCACAGGGTAAGCAGCCTCACTGCACTGGGCTCCTTCCTTCCGAGACCTGCTTCGGGGCCATCCCTCTTCGGTGAGACACTGTTGTTTGTGTGAGCATCTAAGTGCCATTCATAGGGGGACAACCTAAGCAAAGCAGAGATCTGCCTCCCGTCGAATGCGTTCCAGGACATTCGTGTCCCCAACACCTGCCGCTTGTAAAGATCTCAGAGGCATCCACAGAGGATGATGACGGGGGCATGTGCCCACTAACATACGCGTGGACAGACAGACAGGCAGGCAGGCAGACATACATACACACGGGCAGGCAGGAGGACAGAGAGGCAGACAGACAGAGGCAGACAGCATAGAACAGGCTGGACAAACAGGCCGACGGAAAGCAACGTTTTCCCTAAACTGAGGGGAGGCGCGGGATTCCGACTGTTCTCTCCCCTCCAAGGCTAAATCCATGCAGCCCTCGAGCCCTAGCCCGGGTCCTCTTACCTCCGGCGGTCCCCTTACCTCCGGTTGATGACCGAGACAGTGCCACGCCTCGGGGACTTGAAGTGCAGCATCCCGGAGTCTAGAATCTTATCCCACGCGTCGAGCTCCTGAGCGTGAGCCAACAGGACGACAGCTCGCGGGAAGTGGGGTGCAGATCCGAGCCTCACTCAGCACAGTGCTCCCGCAGCACCAGACCACTGCCACTCTGCGCGGCAGGCGCTCCTCTCTCGGCTCCGCGCGCTCACTGCCTTACTAGCTGCTAGCTTGGAGCTGCCAGCCAGAGCCGCCGCTTTTTATAGCCGCCTTCCGGGGCTGGCTCCTCCCCATCCAGAGCCCCCGGCGCCCGCACTCATCCCGTCCCCCCCCCCCGCCCACACTCCCCCCCCTCGTCTCGGGGCAGCGTCCTCCCACTCACCGAGGTGGGCCTCCTGCGGGGCCGGACCCGGGCGGGCTCTGGCGGCCGCTCCGGGAGCCGCAGACCCAAGCCCGAGAGCCGCCGCCGGGACATGCCGCGGCCACCAGGTGAGGGCGCTGGAGCCCAGGACGAGAGCGGCCGACCTCGGAGGGCTGTAGCCATGGAAGCGCACCTTACACGCAGTGGCCTCCCCAAGGGACAGGCAGGCCAGAGAGAAGAAAGACCTGCGACTTCCACATTCCGGCTGTTAGATTTCAAACCCCTCCCCGCTTTTGGAAGCGGCCATAGCAACACAATCAAGAGTCTCCTGGGTCTAGAGGTCCCTTGGAGGGAAGATGCACCCTCATGCAGTCAGAGACCTTGGTTTGAAAGAGGGCTCATTGGCCAGGGAGAAGTGCTTACAGGCTTGAAAAACAGAGTTCAATTCCCAGGATCAATGTAAAAAGGCCTTGGGTGATGGCCCTGGTTAATCCCAGGGTATAGGAAGGAGGTGGAGACAGGGCCTTACTGACCAGCCAACCTAGCCTACTTGGCAAGTTCCAGGTAAAAGAGAGACACTCTGTTTTAAATAAAATAAAAATAAAAAATCTGGACAGCTCCTGAGGGAGGACACCCGAGGCAGCTTGACCTCTACCCGGGGACATGCACACACACATACATCCCAGAAGAAAGGAAGGTAGAGAGACTTCACTAGTGGCAGTTTTCTGCAGATGCTAGTTCCCTGACAAGAGCCTGGGGAGAGGATTCCAGTGAGATTGGAGGCTATGGGTACTAATTCACAGCAAGTGCTTGCTGTCCTGCATGTAGGGTGGGGGGACGCTGAACCTCTGTGCCCACACAGGCCCTGTGTTCTCAAGGGTCAAATCAAGAAGGTACCACTAGTGAGCTATTCCCTGCCACAGGAGTCAGCCCACACAGAGTATGGCATCTCTGCAACACTGGGTGCCTGGTTTACCCGATACGTACCCACTCCAAGCCTGGCAAGGGGCGGAAGATGTTGGGGGTTTTCTTCTCATTTCATTTTACTTCTAAGATGAGGGCTTTGATTGCAATTCTACATCCTGCCCCTCCCCCCCAACTTGTTACTCAGCTCCTTCCTCCTGTTAATGGGAGTCTCCATATACACATTCTTTCTTCCTGCCTGCCAGTGGCCAGCGAGGACCACTATGCCGGAGGGCCTTCACTCTAGCCAGCGCTCTCCAGTTTTAGGAATTTAAGTCTGGGGCCTTGGGGCTAGTCTATGGTAGAGACTTTGGAAGTCTTTGTCTATGTCCTCAGTGCAGAAGCCTTCGGGCACTTGTTGGAACCAGGGAAGCACATCTCCAAACCTTTTCTAGAAAGCTGGAAACAGTGATCAAGCATCTCAGACTGACCTTGACATTCAAGTACACCAAGGACCGGCTCTGTGGCAGGCTTCCCTTCTTGGCCCTTCCTTTCTAGCCGGATGGAACTGGAGCGGCCCCCCCTTGTAAAGTGTGCGTCCAGTCCTCCTGTTGTGAGTACTCACTGTATCCCTTTCTCAAGGAGCCCATTCCCCACAAACACTGGAGCACGGGCTGGGTAAGTGACGCTGTGCGTGGTGGAGAAGGGTGTGTTTTCTTTGGATCAGCCTCACTGCAGTCATGTGTGAGACCTTTCCAAGCGGTGGAGCAGGGACGAGCTCATCTCCACGGGCCTCTGAGAGATGAAGAGCATCTCCTGTTTAAGGGATGGGCTCTGGGAAGTGCTTTGTCATGCTTTCTCCAAGATCCAAAGTGCCCAGCTCATGCCTCTGGTATCCAATTTTCTTTACTGTTGGCCAATGCCTGGGGTGGGGGAAAATGCTGATGAATTACAGACAGGCTCTGTATGTCTAAAACCAGACTATCCAGTCACATCCACTCAGCACTTCTACTCAGTCCTCTGTGACAGGCAGGAGATGGTTGGTAATTCGTTTTGGGTGAATGCCGACAACATGAACCTGATGGATTTCCTAGCCACGCTTCTCTAAATCCAAGGACTTATAAATGCAGAGATGAGGCTGGCTACAAAATGAACTGTTAGCTTTCTAATACGTGCCAGGATCCCCGAGAGGGAAGGGTGGTTGTCTTAGCCAGGGGTATGGAGTCACACCCAGCCTCCACACCCTGTGTGATAAGTTTCCATCACCTTCCTGAAATATGCAGTCCCTAGACCTCATCCTGTGTGTTGTGACATCCTGCGTGTTGTGACATCCTGCCTGCCCCCCCCCTCCACAAACTGCCTGAGTCTAGCAGTTTTTCATCAGCCAGTCAGCCATATTCCACATCCGTTCTTTAAAACAAAGGTCACCTCACTCCACCTACCCACCACCAAAGCCACGACCTTCCCTGCACGTCTGTGTGGAGCTTGAAGGGCTAGCCACACCTGGGGCTCCATTCTCCAGTCCTCTAGTCCTGGCTTCCCGGGACTGACTGGGAACTGAGAAAACAATTAGAAATGAGAGGCATGATGAGGCTAGGTGAGCTGCCGGGAAATCTCAAGAATTCTAGCCTGCAAGCAAAGCTCATGGAGGAGAAAAGAGCAAATTTAAATCTCACCAACAGGGGTCGCCCTTGGACACAGAGCCTGAAGCTGCCATCAGAGAAACGAAATTCTGGGGTCTGCATCCTGAAGCCAGGTTTCTAGCACTTGGAGCTGTTAAATTCCTGTTTTGTTGGAGGCAAATGAGGTCCAATGAGCAGAGATGAAAAAACAAAACAAAACCTCCAGTGTTTCTGGAAGTTTCACATCTGGTAGGAACTTGGGACAGGAAATCCACCCAGGTCAACCTCTCAGGAGCCATGTAAGTGGATTTCTACCTTTTTTCTTCAAAGTTGTCATTACCATAGAGAGGGAAGTAAATATTAAATATGTGTTATATATAATATATAATATTATATGTTTATATAATAAATATTTTATAAATTAAACATTTATTTTTCTTAATTGAAAAAAATCTATGTGCTTCCTACCCTATTTTCAAAACAGAAAATTCAGAAAACAAACACAGGGAGAGGGAGAATCGCCTAGCTTCTGGTACAATGTACCAATGAGTTTACAATGTGGAAAAATTTTTATTGTTGTTTTGTCTTTGGTTTTTGTTGTTGTGTACACACACACAAACACACACACAACACACCACACACACACACACACACACCAATGTACCAATGAGTTTACAATGTGGAAAAATTTTTATTGTTGTTTTGTCTTTGGTTTTTGTTGTTGTGTACACACACACAAACACACACACAACACACCACACACACACACACACACACACACACACACGATTTCTTTGGGTAACAGCCCTGACTGTCCTGGAGCTCACTCTGTAGACCAGGCTAGCCTCAGACTGACTACAATACAGAAAGGTTTCAAAAGTCAGTCACAGTAGCTCACATCTTCAGATTAGTAGGTGGAGGAAAGAGAATCTGGAGTTCAAGATCATTTTCAGCTACACAGGGAATGTGTTGGTAGGTTTTAGACACAAACTCCATTATCTGAGAAGAGGGAGCCCGAATTGAGAAAAGGCCTATCACACTGACCTGTAGGCAAGCCTATAGAGCATTTTCTTGATTATTGATTGCTGTGGGAGGGTCCAGCCAACTGTGGGTGGTATCATCCGTGGGCAAGTGACCTTGGGGTATAATAAGCAAACTGAACAAGTCAGGGGGAGCAAGCCAGTACATAGTCTTCCTTCAAGGTTTCTGCTTCAGTTCTTGATTCTAGGTTGCTGCCTTGAGTTCTGGCCCTGACTTCCATTCTTGATTGACTGTCATTGGGTAGCCAAGCAAACCCTCTCGTCCCCAAATTGCTTTTTGATCATGGTCTTTATCACAGCAAAGCAGCCTAACTAAGACAAGGAGTTTGAGACCAGCTTTGCTATGTGAGGCCTTGTCTCAAACAAACAAAGAGCAAAACAAAAGCTTGAAATAAATAACATTTATTAATACACAAATAATAATAAATAAATAAATTGAAACACAAAGGGGGAAATATCTCTTGTAATCAAAGCCATCTCTGTTAACTTCAGTATATAACCAAACATTTGCCCATGTATGTTACATGGAGAGATAGAGAAATATATAAATGTAGATAAGCGTTTAACAAATGGTTCTGTAGCTCAAAATCCTTCTCCACCACAGCACACGTCCTGGGCTATGTCTCTTGAATGCACACATCATCATCCAGCACAGAGTCCCAGCATGAGTGGTTATGAATGAATGAGCATATGCATAAATGTTTCTTAGAAAGACAATGTGAGTGGGCAGTGGTGGCACACACCTTTAGCCACAGCACTCAGGAGGCAGAGGCAGGCAGATCTCTGTGAGTTCAAGACCAGCCTGGTCTTCAAGGTGAGTTCCAGGACAGCCAAGGCTGTTGTATAGAGAAACCCTGTCTCAAAACAAACAAACAAAATAGAAAAGACAACGTGAATGCAGTAGAGACGGTCAGCAAGTAAAGGTACCTACCATCAAGACATGGAATAAAGAGAGAACCATCTCCCGCAAGTCATCCTCTGACTTCCACATGCATGTTGTAGCATGCACATGTGCTCGCCGCCCCCCACATACATGCTTTAAAGATACTTCTAAAAAGAGGAGACCTAAACACTTGGAAAGACGATGATCCACTTTTTCCATTAATAAAGAAATGCAAATTAATCTGGTTAGCAAAAAGATCAGAAGCGTTACAGTGCCTTTGCTGGTGCTAGGCAAGTGAGGGTAGGGAGGAGCTCCTCGAATTCCTTGCTGGTGTGAGCCTGTGTCGGTGTGATGTGAGGACAGTTTGACAAGGCTTGTGAAATGTACATAGCATTTCACTTAGAAATTCCATCTTCAGGAATGTGTCCTACAGATATGAT